CACGAGAGTGTAGTGTTAGCACCCAAACCAGCCGGGAGCTGTTCCAGGGAGCAAATGAACAAACAACTTCAAAGCACTCTTAAGTTTTAAAATCTCTAATTCAAAATGTCCCAAGCCTTTTCACAACGTCAGCTATCCATCACGTGCATATCTGATCTCGCAATGCTCTGCATCTTCTATCAAAGTATACCACAGCCTAACTAACCTTTCCCCAAAAATGAATGTTGATGTGAAAATGGACAGATTACAATCAATTCAACTTTAATAAACTAACTCCAGCTGGAGAAGGCAATTTGATCACTCTTGAGCCCCAAGGTCATGTCCTAGGTCTGTGTCACCTGGTAACAGCACAGGGAGCGGTAGCCTATGACATGAGGGCCCCTGGTTCCACAGGATGGCACGTGCATTAGCCTTCACAAGTAAGCAGTTCAGTCTTAGTGGAACAGAACATTCTAATCAGTCTATGAATGTCTGTGTCCACCCCAAATTCCTCTGTTGAAGCTCATCTCCAAGTTCATGCTATTCAGAAGTAAAGGCAGCTAAGTCAAGACAGTGGGAGCCTCACAAAGGGGGTTGGCACTCTTGGCAGAGAGGCCCCTTGTCCCTTGTGCCGTGGGAGGAAGAACAGAAGGTGGCAGGCTGGGAGGCAAGAAGCAGGTCCTCACGGGACTGAATCTGCTGGCACCCTGGTCTCGGGCCTCCCTGCTCCTGGCTCGTGAGGAACCCAGTTGCCTGCCATTTCTAAGCCACCCACTGGGGGCATGTTGTGCTGCGACCCAGGACTACGATGCGCATCAAAAACAACATCCCACCACTGAACGGAAGTTCTTGCCCACTGTGGCCTTTCACGGCCTGGGCTGTGGCGTTCAGGGTCAAGCGGGGGAGAAACAGGTGCCGGGCTCAGCCTCAATCTTCTGAAAGTCAGTCCGAAACAGATGCCTCGCTGGCAGGTAGTGACAAAGATTCCTATTCTACGTCTCCACAAACAGCCAGGAGGCTTAATCTACTGTTTAAACTAGAGGAGTTATTGTCAACAACCAACTGACCCGAAGGGGGGGCAGGTCATTCAGACACAACTTTTCCTTTTCATCCCTGGAGTTTCCTTTTGAGATTTTGGAAACCATTTTCATTTGCGTGCAGACTGCTGGAAGGGCTCCTCACCGTGCCAGTGGCGCACCCGGGCCAGCTCCCGCACGGCCTGCGCCCGCTCGGCCTGGTCCCCGGCCCGGCTCCGCCGCAGCAGCAGCCACACGGCGCACTCGTGGTCCTCCACGTCCGCTGTGCCGAGCGTGTCTTCACGGGGAAAAGCAGAAGCAAGCTGTCAGGCACGAGAGGAGCTTTCACGGCATTCCCAGCCTCGCGTTCCCTTCTGTGGGAGCCGCTAAATCCTGGAATCTGGGAGAGCGTCAGATTCCCTCCCAGGATCCGGCACGACTGACGTCTGCTTTCAGTGGCCCGCGTACGCGCTTACGTTTGCTACCTATGTGCTTTTCCTTAATACGCTATTTGCTTTCACTACATGGCTTTTTTTTTTTTTTAATGAAACACAGCAACACTAGAGAAGAATTAAAAAAGAAATATGTTAATATCCACATACCTACCACAGCTAGATTCAAGGAATGAGTATTTTGCTGTATTTGCTCTATCTGTATGCATGTGTATTTGATCCCAGATTATGTGAAAGGAAGCTGCCAACATTTCACCATCCCACAGTTCAACCTGCATCTCCTAAAAGCCCAAATTCCCCATGACACGCCATCATATCACCCAAAACACTAACAAAGATCTTCCAGAGTCATCTAAAATCCAGTTTAACTTCATGTTCAAATTTCTCCAATTGCTCCAAAAATTACCTTTAGAGCTTCTTTTTAAAACAAGGGTTTAATTCTCTTTAGTCTCTTAATTTCCCACATTTTCATTTTTAAGATGCCAAGTTTTACTTTTATTCTTTTTTTTAAAGTTTATTTATTTATGTTTAGAAGAACGGTGGTTTAGGCCTGCGTTGCAAGAGGTGAGAGGATTTACCAGAGACAGACGGGGGAGCAGACCAGGAGGATATACTGAAATCCACTGCTGAGGGGAGCAGCAGGGAGGCAGGAGAGGGCTACTCTGCCATGTAGGTCAGCTCCTTGGCCGGGAATCGAACTCAGGCTGTAGTGGTGATAGTGCTGAGTCTTGACCCCTAGCCCACTAAGGAGGCCCTACATGCCAACTTTTAGGCAAGACCAGCTTAATGCTTTTATAGCTATCTCCACACCTTGTAGATTTGCCTGGTTGTGACATCTACATTTTTGATGTACTCTTCTCATTATTAGAAAACAGGAGTGATTTTCTAACAAATTTTAAAAAGCTCACCGGGAGAAAATGGTAATTTTAGCGTGAATATTTACTTACAAGTATCAAACTAAAACACACCCACAAAGAGGAAAGGAAGAAAACTGTCCAAAGCATGAAGCCCTCAGAAATTAAGTATCCCGAAAGCACAGCACTAAACTGTCCAAAGTTAGTGTCAGTGTGAGAAGTGGGAAGTCAAGTTGCTCAGATGACCCTTCGGGCGCAGATCAGGTCTCCGGGTTAAACAGCTGATACTTACCAGCAAACGGGCTCCGAAATATCTTGGCTGAGGCTGCCAGTATTTTTCTTACTGCTTTGTGAAGTTCTTTTCTTGCCTGGTAGGTGATTCCTAAAATGATTACAGGTTTACATCAAGATGTACTCTTAATTCTACTCTTTAATATTTCAGAAAGAAGTCTTTGAGTGAAACGTAATGTGATCTTCATTGTATAGGTAACTTACAAGTTATAAAAGTTATCTGTGTGACTGAAACCGTACCGTACCACAAAAGCAGGCTGAACGTGGGACGGAGAGGTCACGAGAAAGAAGAGCAGGGTGGGGCATGGGGGGACGTCCACCAGCCTGCCCGGCTCCGGGCACACGCGTGTGAACAGGCGTGTTCTTAGGGCCGCCGGAGGAGCAACTGCCCTCCAGGGTGTGACGTCCCCTGTCCTGACGAAGAGACAGCCCTCTGCTCTAAAAGTTCAGGTTTATCAAGCCATCCTCTGATTACTAAGCAGGTTCCATGTGACCTAGATGTGGAATGTTCTGGCTAGCAAAGACAGGTCTTCAGCCTTGGTAGCGATCCCTCCTCGGGTTGGTATGCACCTTTATGAATACCATGAATAATAAATCCTTCAGACAGAAATCTCTCAGAGCCGAGTGACAAAATCATGTTTTTATGCTTGCCAGAGGGCCATCCTCTGACCTGACAGTTTTTATGAAAGGATGTTACTCCAACTTGGACAGAAAGGGTTGGCTGGCCTTCACTTAGTTATTCGAGAATTGCAAATCAGATTTAAACACAAAAGTCCACAATTTGACCTTCAATTAGTGCTTTAAGAACTCAGTTGTCATGGGATTTGGTGATTCTCAAGGTGAGCTGAACCTATCATTCTGTTTTAAAGACTTATTTTTAAGTTCATTATCACAAAGATGGAATTACTTACCCATCAACTTACCATAACTTTCTCTTTTACCTAAAGAACCAGTGGGCATGTATATGTATGACTTCATTTTTTCTCTTTCTACCACTTGAGTGTCTAATGTCAAAGACTTCTTCAGGGCCAAGATTTCATATGTAAGAAATAAAGAACCGCTTTAAAAAAGAAACAAAATAGAAATCATAAATACGCTATATTTAACACAATAACCATTTTTTTCAAGCTTTTTGCAGTCACCTTTTTCTTCCCTTTTTATTGAGGAACATAATATATAAACAGGATAATGTATATTTGTATATATAAATGTAGAGGCACATTTCAGTTTATCATAATAAATAGCATTACCACAGCTGGCAGAAACAGGACACGGAGGGCAGCCAGAGCAGCCAGCGCCTCTCCCCTCTCCCGACTTGCTCACTCACGTCTATAGCTCATTGCTGGCCTGACCTTTAGGATAATAATCTATTTATAGTTTACCGCCTTACAGCCTCCTTAAATAACACCTCGCGCTGTTATTTAAACATAAGTGCACGGTAATTATTCTGCCTTCAACCTTCAGCTTGTGAGATCCATCCCTGTTCTATGTATCTGTTGACTATGCACTTTTAATTTCATAAGGTGTGTGATTCATCTATCATCTGGATATAGCACAAGTTACAAATCTTGTATTTGCATAAATATATGTGCACCACCCCACCCCACCCCCATTTGGATCTAGCATTTCCATTCTGCCAGTGACGGGCATTTAGGGAGTTCCTAGCTTGGGTCTATTAAAAACACCCTACACATCTGCACTGCCAACGTGTGTGTCTGCCCCTCTGGGATACACAGCTAGAAACACAATCACACTCTTTCTGACAGAATTCACCTTTACTAGGTAGCGCGGGCCAGCCACTCTGTACTCCCACCACTAGCCTGTGAAAGTTTCTCCTCTCCTAAGAGCTACATCTAAAGTCAATTTTTAATGCGAAGTTCATGTTGTTTGTTGTGTCCCCCAAAGGGGGCTTTATCCTAATCATGGAGACCTATTCACCCCCTTCGGTCTGCACTCTCTGTGGACTCGGAGCGCAGTAACATCACCCTCAGCCTCTTTCTGACCTTTCTATCCTAGAGGCAGCCTCGACCAGGAACGGCGTGTGGAAGCAGCCTGAAGAGGGTCTGGGTGAGCCACCGAAAGAGCAGATAGGCTCAGCAATTTTATGCTTTCCCTGGCAGGTAAAATTCTTCACTAGAAACTGTATATTCACTATATTCCTGAGCAGAACTGTGATACAGACAAATGGCATTACAGAAGCGTCTTTCATCTCTTGCCCAGAATGAGTCAACGAGGAAAAAACTCACCTAACTCTGCTTTGCCTTACGTTCCCTGAGAAAAGAGTGTATATTTGGGTGAAGTGCCAAATATATCGCCTTTTCATTTTAGCATGTAAGTGTTGATTTCACATTTATATTATTGAAAGAATATTATTATTATTATTA